TGGGCATAATTCTGTGCAGGGATAAAATTCTGCTGGCCGTGCGCAAAAACAAGAGCAATGCCCCTGGTAAAACTTTTTTACTGGGAGGCCACTAAGATCGCCGGCCAAGTTTCTATAAGTTCTTGCCGCTAAAGCGACCAGAAATTCTGAACGGTGTGTGTACGTGCGTGAGTGTGTGTGTGTGTGGCGTGTGGTGAGGTAGTGTTGGGGGCTTCTACACTTGAGACTGTCTTACCGCACCTTAACTCGCTTCCTGAGTTCCCGGACTTTTCAGTGGCCAACAACAAGTGTGTTTGTTCTTCAAAACCCAATCCACTCGGGTTTTATATACAGAACAAACAGCAAACCAACCCCATCTTGTCTTGCATTCACAGCCCAATCGGCGTTAAACAGGTGGCTCTGTGTCTCTGCATTCAGGTTGTTTTTTGCTTGAAACATCAGCTTCTTGGCCCGCAGGTCAGTTTCCCCTTTGTAAGGCGTGGCGTTCTCAGGTCGGAAATGCAGGGTCGCCTGTCAAACCATTGTCAAACCGCCTGTTTAGGGGAGGAACTTCCAGGCCCCAATCACTCACCAGGGACATGAAATCATGGTTTTCCTCGGCAAACCATCCCAGACCAAGGTTATCCCCAGGTCCCCCAGCTCCCCAAACCCGGAAACCAATTTCGGCCCGGAAAGCGCTTCAGAGGTATTTCCAGGCCTGGAGGTCCCTGGAACCCTCCCTGAAAAACCCCACGGCACCGCTTCCCAGGCGCCATGGCCCCGGGCCTGGCGGGCGCGGTGGCCACGTTGGCCTCCAACGCCATCACCACGCCGCTGGACGTGGTGCGCACGCAGGCCATGGTCCAAGGCGCTCGCGGGCGGGCGGTTTGGGCAGCGGGGTGCAGCCGATTGACCTCGGGTTCTCTCGGGTCACAAACCAAAGACCCCTTTTGACCCTCAAAATTTGAAGCCGCAAGTTCTGGCGCGATTAATGACTGCAACCCCGAGCAATCATGTCTTGTCATGGCACATGCAAAAGCAACCCGAATATGTCCTCGTTCGTCTAACCCACTCTCCTGCTTGACTCTCCAAAGACTGATCATTCACCATGACTATGCCCTTCTAGAGTTGGAAAGGGTGGTTGAATATATGTGGAGGTTGATTAATATTCCTGGCCCCCAACTGACCATGGGGAACCGTTCACATGTGGGAAAAATCAAATCTGTTTAGTGGTTTCCCCAATGGTCATCCCATGGAAAGGACCTTTTGATCAGCCCCAGATGGACGAAATGAGCTGCGCCTGGTGGGATGTGTTGTTGATTTTAGCTGGGATGGGTGGTTTATCCCCAAATTTACAGAATTGTTCGGCCAACTGGCGCAGGATTTTGTTCAGGGTGTCAAAATAGCGTAAGGACCCATTCAGAAAAAAATGCAACACTTTAAGGCTGACTAACTGCGAACCAGAAGCACATTCTTGGTACGGCCAGGCGTCAAAATAGGCGTTTGGACCCCAAGCCAGGTTGTCCAGGTAGTTAATGAAAATAGACGTGATCTCAGACATATCTGACATTTAGAAGTTGACGCAGAATCGGAAACACATTTTTTTTAGCCCCCCAATCATGATTCTCCTTCTGCTTTCCATTCAAAGGTAAAAGGGTAAACACAACATGGGATCAGGTCAGGGATCCAATGTTGGTGCAAGGCTACCCCCCCGCTTTGAAACGAAACTGTGGAGCTGGACAAACAAAAACACAGATGCATCAACACCGATCTGCGCGAACGCAGCCACCTGACTTGGGCAACAGTCTCACTATGATGAATGAGCCCGTTTTCCCGGCCGGTAGACCAAGAATGGTTTGCAAGCAAACATTTGATGTTGCGCAGAAAAAGGGATCACACAAATATGGAAGACCCAACCATGAGGGGTTTTCAACTGCTTGTGGCAGATGTCCATTGATCCGGGAAACATCTTTGTGGGATGTGAGTGCCAGGTTCGAAAGGCTCCAAGAATGCCTTGGAGCGGTTCCAGGACGTCACGCACAGTTGCCGGTTGGAGGGCCGGTGAAACCAGACCTCTGCTTGTCAAAGTGCCTGCAAGGGCTTTGCCCGGGGTAGCCGCCCTTGACTTTGCATTGCCAAACTAAGCTGAGAATTTGGACTCTTTGCCTCTTTGGGTCGCAATCACTTTCAGATTCGGCAAACGGTTCCCGGTTTTGCTGGAGGACCATCCTCCTGAGTTTTTGGTTTGCAGCGGCAGAAGCTCTTCCTTGTCACATCCAAGCCAGCCCCGCGCACGCATGCATGCGCATGCATGCATGCGCGTAGATGCGCGCAGGATCTCATCGACTCTGGGGACAGCGAGAAGATTTGGTCAGGTCAGGAGCTCCAGAGAGAGAGAGAGAGAGAGGGAGAGAGAGAGCCCTATTTGGAGTCTCCGATTGATATGGCAAACTGCAACAGAGTTCAAGAGTTAGAACCTCCAAAGTGGTTGGGGCGGGGGACTTGTTCATCCCCATGGAAATCTGATGTCCAGCAAAGGGCCCCCTAAAGAGAAATTTATACCCATATTTGTTCGTCAAGGTGAAGGTCGCCATTGACGATCAGTGGATCCTTGATGAACGAAGGGCCAAAACAAGCTTGAAGCAAGCCAGAGAATAGGTCAGCGCTTCCCCCAAGAGTTGGGAGAATGATACCCTCAAGGCGGGGTTGCCGTAAGCTAGGTAAGATCATGTGTCTTTTAGCGACACATCCCCCATCACCTTTGGGGGGGAGCCTTTTGGAAGAGGTGCTTTTTGCGCCATGGTTTCGAAGCCTTCCTGGAATCTCAGGGTTTCCCTGCCGAAATTGACACTAAATGAGACTCATGCTTGGAATCTCGGGGATTTCCCGCCCAGACCCAGCTTCACGCACAGAAATCTTCGGATCAGACTCACTTGCCCCCAGCTTTCCTTGCTCAATTTGGGCGTGTCTTTTCTTGGTGGCTCCCCTTTTGGTGGATTTTACCGGGCAGCCAATAGGAAAACACCACCCACTTCTTTGGGTCCAACTCGTTCGTCTTTGGTTCCAAAAGGTCCGAACTTCCGTCGCAGGCTTCGGCTGGCGCCTGGGCCGCGGCCTCGTCGCGGGCGCCATTCAGTTCACGGTGCTGGAGAGGGCGGTCTTCGCGACTCGTACTCGTCCAGATTCAAGAAGAACTCGTGTGGCTCAAGAATCAAGACGGGTTCCTTCCCCGCAATTCGCCTTTGCCATTTAGGGTTCCAGCTTGGGCCCCTGTTTTTGACTTGTTTGAAGGGAAACTCGAGGAACATCGAGGCCATTTTGGGGGGTCACCTATTTTGAGACACACCCCGTTTTGGAGCCCAAAAAGTGGGACGGGACCCATGAAAACCGGTCTTTCTCAACATAGGGGTAATAGGGGTCCCAAAAACTGGTCCCAAAAACTGGTCGGCTTCCATTTGGTTCCGTTTCAATACTAACACGGGGCCCACCATCTTCAGAAGCCAAAACAAGACATGCCTTTGTGAGGGTGTCTTAAAATAAGGGTCCCTAAATATGAGCGGTTTTCCCAATGGTTTCCCAAAACAACACCACCCTACTCCCTGTTCCTGGCCTTTAATCAGTTTTGTTTTGTGATAAGCACGGAAAATTGACTTTTCTGAAATGACCGATTTTTGGGTTCTATGTTAATCAATCTGTAGGGGAGTAAATGGAACATAAGTAACTTAAGTCCCAACTCCAATCATGCCAAAATGACGGCGTCCAAACAACTGCAGAATTCAGTGTTGGCTGGGTGTCAGCCGGAATCTGCAGACGGGTATTTTGTGCAAGTGTGGTGGCAAACTGGATCAGCGTTGGGTAACATCTTTACTTTGGCTAAAGTGACATTGGCAGAACCTGCATGGATACCTGGTACCCCTTCGCTTGCAGGTATCCCTGATATTTGTGGGTACCCTTGCTTTCGACGCCCCAATTAACTTGGAAGCCCCAATGATAGGTTTACGCAGAATCTGGCCAATTTAGAATGGTGATGATTCGGGTTGATGAATCTGAGAGTATGCCTTGACATGCCACCATTGGCTTTCGAGAGACCGCTTCAAGTTAGAAGGTGCAACGTGGGATCGCCTTTTGTGCAGTCCGTTTACCAGGTAGAGCTACATGACAGGCTTTCAAGCAGGGAGTATTTAAAGATTCCATTACATTAACTCGGGCTTCAGCTTCGGGCGTGAAGGGGAGCTCATTGCACTGTTTACTCTTGAAGTTGCAGGAGTTTAGTTCTACCACACTGGCTGGGTTTCTTTGCGTATTGCAGACATTGTGTCGCGTGGGTCAATGTTCGGAGGCTGAGCACTGGCTATCTCTATGCCCTCTACTCAGGCATTCAGGCATCGATGTGCATGTTTCAGGCTCGAGGTGTTGAGCGGGTATGGGTGGGATCCACGTGCCGGAATACGTCTCTTCTCGCGCGTGTGCGCAGGAGAACACCAAGGATGCGGTGGAGGGCCGGCGCTGATTCGCGTGAAAGAAAAGGTGAGCAGGGTTCTTAGAGACATCTTCCGCATCGCTGAATCCCTGGATGCCGGTTTTGTCTAATTCTGTGCCCCTCAGACGTGGTCAATATCTGACCCGGGCAAGTTTCGAAGGGTCGCGACCCCCATGATCACCCGCCCCAAGGCGCAGCCCAAGGAAACTTCCGTGGTTCAACCGGGAAAACACATTTTACCCGGATCCCCCCCCAGGCCGCAGAACCGCCGCAGAAACCGCAGCCGAACCGCAGGGAACTAGCGCACGGTTCACTCAACACCATACAAGACTCGCCAGGGAGCCCAATCTCAATTGCTTCAGATCGGATATACATATATATATATATGTATATGTATATATATATATATGTCATATCCATTCACCCCCCACTTGGGGCTCAGAAAACCAAACCGCATTTTGTTTCGCACAAGACGGAGCCGGTGAAACCCAAAACCACCACCCGGGGGGAGGCGTTTCTTTCCGTTTGGAGCCACACGTAGGACCAGGGCCTCGCCTGGCTGCGGAGGAAAATGGGCCCCAAGGCGGCGGCCCACCTTGCCAAGGCGGCGGAGCGCTTCGGGCGCTTCGGGGCGGTGGCGGTGGTGGTAGAGCCCGGCGCCCAGTTTGGCCGGACAGGTCGACCAATGTGGAGACCTGTATTCTCGTTAGGAAGGCTGCTTCTATTTCACAGCAGAATATCACCCACACACCCCACAATCAAATGGTGTTGTCAACACCCATGCTCTTCAAGAGAGGCACAGGGAACCGCTGAAGTGTTCGGATGCTTGCTGAACCTGGTTAGCATTTGCCCTTGTGACTACCCTGCAAGTGGGTGGATCGCCTTCCTGAACTCAGTGATGCCAGGAGCTGTTGGTTTCGCACCAACCTGATCTTTCCTACAGGTACTCATTTTCCAACAATCATGGAAGGGGCAAACGCGGAGAATATAACCCTCCAGAACCTACCTATCAGCTTGCATGATTGTGGGAGTGTAGTTGTTGGTGTCCACCGATTGGAGTTGAGCTTGCACTCACTGGGCTTAGGTTTGCCAAGTCACTTTACCGAACAAAGCCATCGGCGGGTTTTGCATCCCCATTTTCCCCGGGGCTTGGGAGGGATGGGGCCTGAGCGCCAATAGGGGAGGGGAGGATTGTAACAGAGCCTCAACGATCAAGGGTTGCAACGGATTCGATCAGGGCTTTACAACCCATGTGATTATGGCCAACCAACGTGCTGGTTGCGTGAGAGTTGTTTTCTTCAAGCGAGAGTGCATGGGAAAGGGCAGGAGATGCATTTTGGATAGTGGGTAGAGTTGCAGAGGTGGATACAGATTTGGCTGATAGGGGCGCGGGTTGTTGTTTGGCAGGATCGCAGGTGTGGGGGCCTTGGCATGCACGTGATGCATTTGGGGACTGAGCATGAACATCATCACACCACAGTTTACATTCCCAAACAAAGTACAGACACCCTTGTTGGGCCCTTTGTGTGGCCAACAGAGAGCAGAACTGCCGCGCCTGCTCGCATCACTGAATCAGTGATGGAATTAAGGCTCATCAATTGTAATGGTCTTTGTGGATTGGGTTGTTGGATGCAGCAGCTGTGCAATTTTGTATTTGGATCGGTCGAATGTTTTAGTAGCGCGCTTGTCAGCACAACGTTGCGTTCACAATTTGGAATTGGGGTGCCGGGCGCAGCAAATGCTGCTTGAATTGAGCAGCTGAGGGTGATTTGAATCTAATTGCTGCTGGATGGGCAGTTTGGCAGGCAACGCATTTGTTGAGAAGGGCGACAAAGCCAAATGCCTGCATGTGTTGATTGTTGCCGTGGTTGTGGCTGTGATGATTGACACAAAATGTCAGAAAGGGGTTTAGCTGATGCTGGTTGCTTCCAGCAGCCAGTGGTGAGTGAGAAGCAGGAATCTGATGCTGTGGGGGCAGTTTGGCAGGCTGCGCAAGGGCGACACAGTCAAATGCCTGCATGTGTTGATTCTTGCCATGAGTGTGTCTATGATGATTGACACAATATGTCAGAAAGGGGTTTAGTTGATGCTGGTTGCTTCCAGCAGCCAGCGGTGAGTGAGAAGAAGGAATCTGATGCTGCGGGGGCAGTTTGGCAGGCTGCGCATTTGTTGGGAAAGTGACAAAGCCAAATGCCTGCAGGTGTTGACTGTTGCCGTGGGTGTGGTTATGATGATTGGCACAAAATGTGAGAAAGGGATTTAGCTGTTGCTCGAAAATGAACGAGTACGGCTATGATGATCGACACAAAATGTCAGAAAGGGGTTTAGCTGATGCTGTTTGCTTCGAGCGGCCAGCAGTGAGTGAGAAGCAGGAATCTGATTGCTGCTGCGTGGGCAGTTTGGCAGTGTGCATTTGTTGAGAAGGGCAACAAAGCCAAAAGTCTGCATGTGTTGACTGTTGCCATGGTTGTGGCTATGATGATTGACACAAAATGTCAGAAAGGGGTTTAGCTGATGCTGGTTGCTTCCAGCAGCCAGTGGTGAGTGAGAAGCAGGAATCTGATGCAGTGGGGGCAGTTTGGCAGGCTGCGCATTTGTTGAGAAGGGAGATAAAGCAAATGCCTCCATGTGTTGATTGTTGCCGTGGATGTGGCAATGATGATTGACACAAAATGTCAGAAAGGGGTTTAGCTGATACTGGTTGCTTCCAGCAGCCAGTGGTGAGTGAGAAGCAGGAATCTGATTGCTGCGGGGGCAGTTTGGCAGGCTGCGCATTTATTAAAAAAAGAGATAACGCCAAATGCCTGCAGGTGTTGATTGTTGCCGTGGATGTGGCTATGATGATTGACACAAAATGTCAGAAAGGGGTTTAGCTGATACTGGTTGCTTCCAGCAGCCAGTGGTGAGTGAGAAGCAGGAATCTGATTGCTGCGGGGGCAGTTTGGCAGGCTGCGCATTTATTAAAAAAAGAGATAACGCCAAATGCCTGCAGGTGTTGATTGTTGCCGTGGATGTGGCTATGATGATTGACACAAAATGTCAGAAAGGGGTTTAGCTGATACTGGTTGCTTCCAGCAGCCAGTGGTGAGTGAGAAGCAGGAATCTGATTGCTGCGGGGGCAGTTTTGCCATCGCATTTTCTGAACAAGTTCTGGACAACGTGGCCTGACATGACTTTTTTTATTTGGGGGACGATCCCGGGATCAGCCTGTCTTGTCCTTCGCCTCAACATGCGCGCCCAGGACCAGCATGGAACCTGAATGGAGTCTTGTTGAGCAACGATAGGTGAAGTTCCTTCAGATTCCATGTGGGTATGTGTCGACATAGGGATTTGGAGCCCGTATATGTTGTGTTTTTCCTTTGGTTTTCATTCAATCCTCCCCAAAAAGGACACCCTCCAATTAACGGGTGTCGTTTTTTGAAGGGTGTGTCGTCCTGGGAACCAGAAAGGGTTGCTTAGGGAAGGGATCCCAAGGGTTTGGGTTGGGGTCGGTGCATAAAGCCACGCGCTGCCAAGGCTACAGAGCCCAGGTTGGTTGGCGTTTAAAGGGAAACCAACAGGAACACGGTTGCGCCATGCGGGATCCCCCTAAAGATTGGTGGTGTTCCTCTTGTTCCCCTTCAAAGCCATCCCAAAACGGGTACCCTGAAAATAAAGAGGTAGCCTTGGGGTCAGATTAAAGGGACGCCATTTCGAACACCGTCGCGCCGTTTGGCTTTTCTCTCCTTGAAGCCAACCCGAGTCCGAGCACGTGGCCTCGCACGTGGCCTTCGTCTCGAGGCCTGGGGCGGTGGTGTGCCTCCTGGCGGGTGCCACTCGCATGCCCGTGGCCCGCTTTTGTACGCCCGGGGACTCGAGTCACGAGACGCTTCCTGTTGCCGAATATTCAGGCCCCTAAGCGGTGGTGGGAACGGCGGAATTGAACCCGCAATGGGAAACCACACCCTAACTTTCAAACCACCAATCCAATGTCAGTGCATGGGAGGGAAGTTACTTCCATTTGCGTTTCAGCAAAGGTCGCATTGTCCGCATATGCCAGCTATTTCAAGTGTATGACTCACTTCCCGAGTTCCTGTACTTTAGTCACTTGTTGGGACCATTTTGGCGGCAAACAAAAAGTTTGGACTTTTCTTGCCAATCCACTCAGGATTGAGCCGGGGTATTGCTTCGGCAGCAAACAATAACGGAATGGCATTCCCATGGCTGCGGATACACTGAACTGTCCTACAGCCTGTTACATTCATTGCTTCATTCATTTTGTTAGGATTGACAGCTGGCCAGGGGGCAAGATGATTCTTTTGTGGTTGTCATTTGTTGCCTTCGCATTTTCTGCTGGCAATGGCCTCTAAATGGAATCCTTTTGTATCCGGGTCTTCGATATGCATGCGGTTGGGAAGCCGCGCCGGCTATGTGCCACATTGAGAATAAAGCCTGGTGCATTTGGAGTGAATGCGGGAAACTCGGGGGCTTGTTGCGTGTGTCCCATCCTGACAAGGCCGTTTTGGAGTCGCTTTGTGCAAGTTACTTGGCCAGGCATGGCCGACGTTGCCATTCACAGGCCACAAAGGCTTAGGATGATGCGTGACCAATCGCGATGAACACATCCGAACGGGAATGGCTCAAAATAGGGAGTCGGCTCCCCTCCAAAAGCGTAGTTTTCCTTCTGGTTTCCCTTTGAACCAACCTGAAAAAGGCACCCCGAAACGATCACATTCCCGAATTGGTGTTTAGTCGACGTCGTGACAGCAGGCTGAATCTTGGCGGCACCATTGCCAGGCGGCCCGAGACACAGCGTGAGGGCACCTCTCAAAATCCACGCCGGAGGGCCCCGAGGAAATGGTCTTCTGGCACTGCCCAGGGTACATTGCTGCCATTTGCGTTTCAGAACATGTTTCATTGTCCCCTGTTGGTCTTAATGGGAATCTATCACTAGTTGCATTTTTCCGGGGGATTTGAGCAAATGGAGGATTATGTTGATTCCAGTCGGCCGACCGTTTGGTAGCTTCCAGCCACAGCAGAAGATGATTCTTTCATTGCCATGTTTGTTGTGCGAGTCAGAGATCGCTCCCCCTGTGAATACGGTTTTCGTTGAAGAAAGCGGGCAGTCTGAGGTCATGTTGAATACTGAGCAACAAGCCTTCCAATTGTTTAGTCATGAAACAAGGGCGTTCTGCACAAGAAGATACTTCTTTCCCTGATTACCAGGGATTGTCCGGGGCATAAGCGCCTTCCAGCTTCAGGAATTTCCATGGAGTATATGAAGCAAGGGGTAGGCTGAATTCATGCGTCGTTGGACATTTGAACAGGGCAGAATGAGGCGGCCGGTTGTTGGTTCTAGCTAGTTACAGCTAGTCTCAATATTTCAAGTTGACCCACAAGATCTTGTAAGGATCCTTCTTCTATACTTGCAAATGTAGGGAATCAGGGAATCATCCCGCTAATATATTTTGAAAGTAAGCGATTAGCCGTAGCAACCTCAGGTTGGCCCTGAGCAGCCAACAAGATGTGTCCACCAGACTGGCAAGGCTGAAAAAGACAGCTGAAACCCTAGCAACTTGACACCCAATTGTCCAAGTCCATTGGTGTCGATTCATTCGCAGAACGACCCATTTGCTCTGTAACAAAGAGGCTCAGAGAGAGTATGGGTATTGGGAGTACAGTTCTACCAGGGCTTCCTCGCATGCTTGGTTCGATTGCATCACGAGGATTCTCACTGGGTGCTTTGGATCCGGTTCTTGTGGTAGAATGACGTTCCCATGCACTAAGCGTCTGTGCACTGAGGGAGGTTTCAAGTTCGCAGCTCGGCTTCGTTGATCGACTTGGGTGTTGTGTTCTTTCTTTTCTATCTTTTTTTTTTTGGGGGGGGGGGACTTTGTTGGTGGTTTTAAGGGAACACCCGAAAGAACGCCGCGGAATCCCAATTTTGAAAGGCCCGAGTCATTTAACAAAGACAATGAACAATCCATGTCTGGGGCCCCTCGAAGCGCAAGCAATGGATCTCCGGGAGGCTGCTGGCCATTCGGGCCCTCGCTGCCAGCCTCCCTGGCCCGCTGGAGGTGGGGATCAAGTGGCTGGGGCCAGGTGCTGCCCTCTGGTCTTTGGTTCTCACCGCTTTTTGGGTGACACTGAGTTTGCTAACCAAAGGGCAGAGGTGCCCTGGAGAATTCATGAGCAGTTGTTCTTAAAGTCTGTGAAGCTTGTGCTTGTGCGGATGTAGAATGGGCTGACTCAGCCGTAATCGGCCAACAGAGGGCCTTTCTGTGAAACAACTCAAGGGGATCCCTACCTCATGAAGCATTCGAGAGGCACTCGGAGTTGAAGGCCAAAAAATCCGCATAGCTCACACGGCTGCACGGCTTCCAGAACCCTTACGTCGCTGGCTCCGGAAAGGCACCTGCACCAAATTTTTCTCAGGGCTCCTTTTTTTGGGAACTCCTAAAGATTTGGTGGTTCCCAGCTCTTTCCCTTAGCTTTTTAGCTTTTTAGCTTTTTAGCTTTTTAGCTTTTTAGCTTTTTAGCTTTTTAGCTTTTTAGCTTTTTAGCTTTTTAGTGTTTAGTGGAGAATTTCCATTGAACCCATTAAAAGTTAGATTCTTAGTGGGGGATATGCGGACAGCCCAGAAGACCCAGCCCAGCGACTCAGACGTTGCTGGACCTGGTCCGGCGCTTCTCGCTGCCGTTGGCGCTTATGGCGGCGCTGGTGACGGGCGTCAGCTGCCTAGGCGCGCCGATGGGGAGGTGGTCCCATGAGTCACAACCAAAACCCGGGAGTTGGACAGGGCTCCTCAAAAGATACATTTTGCTCAGTTGAAACATGGCTTTTTCCACCAAAATGCAGGGAAACCATCATTTACAAGGCAATGTTCAGGTGTATAATGTGTTGGAGAGTAGCAAGGGGCAATCCCGGCCATAAATGGCTGCGATTGTCTTCTTTGTTCTTTACGTGGATCTGGGTAGGCCATTTTAATACCCGCTTTTGATTATGACTCAGGTGGTGCTTCAAACTGGATGGGTGGCCCGTCTTTTTGGTAGGCCTCGGACCCCAAGAATGACGGTTTTCCTTTTGGTGTCCCTTTGAAGCCACAAAACAGTGGCACCCTCCAAAACAAGACACACCCAAATTGTGGCACGGCTGAAGGTAGCAGGGGACGGAACCCTGTTATTACCACTCGCCATGTGTGCCGGTCCAAACACACGACAACACCTGCCTACGGCATACTTGAGGGCCACTGGGGCTGGATCCAGTTTTGCCATTTCACAAGAACACCAACAGACGAAGACATAAAAAAAAAAAAAACCTGATGAAAAAAAACACCTGATACCTTATGGGGTCCCCTGATGAAAAGAAAACAGCACCGCCCGCATGTCCACCAAGAGCACCTGAGTTCCCACGCAACTGTGGGGCAAGATCCGCCGGAGGTTTTCTTCGATCCGACGGCGGGGAGGAGCGGCCCGCGTCAAATGGGCCAAAGGCTCGCTTGGGTTTGCCGGGATGGCCCTGATCTTATTTACACAAGTCAACCATCCGTGGCCAAAGAGACCAGATGCCGCTCATTGGCGGCACGACTTGACCGAAACCGACGGTGAGCTCGGAAGGGCTTGAACGCCTCCGGCTCAGAGCGCCGACCTTATAGGCCTGCTTTCTTTATTTGTCGTAATTTTCGCTTTGGGGCCCTATGAAACTTTCTCATTGGAATTATCCCAATGGAATTCTCCTTTGGAGTTCCCCCATTGGAATTTTCCGATTGGAATTGTCCCTTTTGATTGTTCCCTTTGGAATTCTCCCGCTCGAATTCGCTCATTCAAATTCTTTCATTGGAACTTTCCCATTGGAAGTTTCCCATTGAAGTTCTCCCATTCACATTTTGCCCTTGGAGTTTTCCAATTGGAATTTTGCCATTGGAGTGCCTCCATCGGAATTTTCCCGATTTCCCATTGGAAGCTTCCATCGGAATTGTCCTTTCCCATTGGAGTTGTTCCGTTGGCATTCTACTTTGGAATTCTCCCATTGGAAATCTCTCTTTGGACATTTCCCTTTGGAATTCTCCCTTCCAGGAACCTCTAGTCAGTTTGTATACGGTTCCAGTTTCCTTTGAGGTGATAGCAGCGGCTGGCAATGACATCCCGTTTTTTCTGCCCGTGAGACATGGGAGCCGCTGCGACTTTGCCTGAAAAGTCAGGACGATGCGCCCAGCCCGGCTGCAACGGATGCCAAAGAGCCTTTGCCGGCAGCGGAACAAAGTGAAGAGGGTGCGAGCGGAAGTGTTAAGCAGTGGACGGGGTTTTGATATTTGGACTAGGGGTGGTAGTTAATTGGGGATGCAACAATCCCTCGAGATCGGTTGAAGGGGGATCATTTGGCCAACGGAAACGCAACGAATCTGCAAAGCACCACACCCCTAAACAAGTTGATCTTCTCAAGAGTTGTGGCGGTCAGCAGGGAAAAAGGGGGAGCGAGTGTCTCACGACTGGCCACCGGGTAAAGTGGTGGAGGCAAGGCCAGGTTTCGTTTGGAAACCATTGGAATTTGCAAAGGGTCCTTGGGCGGCATGCAGGGTTTGTCAGCCAGTTTTGCCAGCTGCAATGTGGCTTCGGCTCTCGACAGTTTGCGACGGCCTGTTGCAGCTTGGCTTTTAAGAATCGACGGGTCCGAAAAAGGGCGCAGGAGCATCTTGGATTCATGGAAGGCATACCTTTCTTCCTTGCATCCTTTGTTGCCATGTGCCATTCTAGCCCGAGGACTTCAAAAGTGGCTGGACACACATGGGAAACAAAAAGCGAAGAAACTACCTTCTCCCAATACCATTTTGTTGCTCTTGTTCCAATTCCCAAAACATAGTTTTTGTTTTTTCCACGCAAAAGGACGACCCGCGTACCAAGAGAACCACCCGGGTTGGTTGCTATGTAAGCACGTTCTCTTGCCATGGGCTGCCGAGGCGACTTGGGGGCTGTTAAGTCGTGGGGGCTGGAAAAAGGAGGCCTGGTAGACTTGCCTTTCCTTTGCGTATGTTCACCCTCCAATTGTGCGAAAGGGAGGTGTGGGAGTAATCGTTTCTTGTTTTCCTGTTTTCGACATGCTTCCCATGCGTAGGTATCGTATTTTGCTATGTGCAGTTTTAGTATGGGGAACCCTGTGCCACGGCTGTGAGGGACCCACCGGATTCTATGTTGCGTGCTTGGGCGTCACATGAGGCGCAAACTGGGGTCAGGATAGGACTGTTGGGAAAACCGTGAGCTAGTACCGTGTTTCAACTTCTATCACGGCGGTGAAAAGGCACAGTTTCTTTGACGAAGAAAAGTTGGTTCCTGAGGGCTTGCAGGGGAGCCAGTTGTCCTTAAGCATACTGCAAATTGGCTTTGTCCCCTCCCCCTCGAAAAACACATACACACACACACACACCAGACGCATCCAAATCACCTCTCGAGAATGCTCCTTTGACACATTGCCCGTGCTGAACATCCATTGGTTTGGGTGCGAATCCATTGATGCATGTTAATCGCATTGGGCCATGGGTCACTCTTGATCCAGTTTCTTAAAATGAAATCCCCTGTTTGGTGTTAGAGGGAATCTATCACTGTTGGACATATGTTCTCATTCTTTTCCAAATGGAGGCGGACAACACTCCTTGCCCATTGAACGTGCCTGATCCAGTCTGAGCCTGTCAGGTTGACCGTGCATGAGCTACAGGAGAGCCGCATGGTTCGTGCGGTCCAGTTCCGTGCTTTTTCCTTGATTGTCCCTTGACCGAGCCAGGACATGTTGTTTTTGACCATGGCACAAGACCCGGAGCAACAGTTTCCTTGAAGGGTGGGGGAGTGGGGGGCATAGGCCGAAGGTCGTTCGGCGAAGGGAGTTTTGCTCCCGCTCGGGCAGCGGCCCAGCACTCCAGGAGTTGGAACGAAAGCGCGGGGCCAAGCGCAGAGGACGCATGCGACGGAGCTGCACTCCTCCAAATAGTTGGTGTCATGTTGTGATTCTTGCAGAACCTTCCCCAGCGGGTCCCAAGTTTAGTGCACCGTCATGTGACCCAGGTCCATCTACTTTTGATGTATATGTCCATTGTTCTCCTTGTCAGAGATGGAAGTGGACATTGCCAATGGAGACATGAGGCGATGATTTCCTCATTCCACTTCACTTCCGGCAGAACATGTGCATGGGTCAACTATTTTTGTCCTCATGGTTGGGACCATTTTTAAGGGATGGGTCAGTCACAAGGGGTGGGGTCCTGTCTGCATCAGACGGGTATGGGCTCTCCCCTTCCAAGGGTTCATGTGCTTGGTCCCGAGGGGCCCCTTTTCGGTGGTGGTCCTGGTAGAACAGTCACCGTTTTTTGAGGTGACCCCGCAACTGCTTCCGTGTTTTCCTGAAAAGATCCGTGTTGAATTCCTGACTGACCCTCAAGCCATGAGTTGAGGAATGCAAAGCTGAAGGAATCAAAGGAGACCACGGCTGCTTCCTGGCGTGGGCCGTTCAGTGTTCCAGGCTCGGCGAAGTGGTGGGCCGACAAGCGCTGCCCGGGCGCCCGACAGCGGCCTTCGTTTGGACGAATTTGTTGTGTTTCGACGGAAACCAAAAGGAAGACAACCATTTTGAGGGTCCCCACAAATCATGCGGAAAAAAAACAACCAAGCAAAAACAAAAAACGCCAACTTCCCGACCGTTTCGGGAACCCCCCTGACCCACGTGTCTGTGCAAAACGAGTTGGACCCTTACAAAGGACGGTCATGGTGACGCGGAAATGCCATTTGGAGTTTGTCAAGCTTGTTTTGACACAGGGTGAACCACCCGAGCAGATAGGAAGTAGGGGTGAATGGTATCAACAAATGTGTGTGTGTGTGTTTGATTTGAGCTTCACCCTTGTTGTTAGGTTTAAGTATTGATCATGAGCTGTTGGTGGGGGATGAACAAAAACACAGGCTTGTGGGTTGCCAGGCTTCAACGGGGAGGTCATTTGGATGCAAGAGCCGCAACCACTGTCATGTAGCTTTTCCACACTCTTCATATGAATCACTCCAGTTGCTTTTTGTACAGACACACACACACACACACACCTCCGCACATGTCACATTACCTCGCATGAACCACCCCCCTACTTGAAGTACACATGGAGCCAGGTTCTTCGGTTAGCGGAACGACGTCAAGCATGGTATTCGGTGGTGCCCCTCAACCACCATGTTCAATCAAACAGCCTCGTTCATGATGTAGGATATGGTTGTTAGCTTTTCATGCACCAGGAATGGCCCAATAACAATTGGCAAGGGTTCTGCAGTTCAATTGAGCGGCTTGATTTTGGGTTGTGAGTGTTGGGGAAAACCTAAGCCTGTCATGTTGTTTTTGCAATGTCAAGCTCACCCGAGGTAAACGACGAGAGACCTTGAAGGCATATTGTCATTTTGTTTTGGGGATCCTTTCGTTCCCGGAGGTGTCCGAAGCTGACCTTTTCACCTTGCTTCCAAAAGCGATGTTGATCCCCCGGCCTTCTGGTTGCGTTGCATTTTCTTCATATTTCGCGATTGTCTCATCCGTCCTAACAAGAAGCCGGCCTGTTTCCTCGCTCAAAAGGATCGTCGAACGGACCTTCCCTTAAAAATTGCGACTTGGGCGCAGGAAGGCGCCGAGAAGTAATGAAAAGAGTACATTGCATCGAGCCGAAACTTTGGTGCCGGTCTTTAGATGCGGCAAGGGGTACTTTTTCTGAAGTTGCAAAGCCGCCGAGCTCACCTTTTGCCACGAAGTTTTGGAGTCTCGGTTTGCCGCGCGGTGTCCCAAGGGGGCAAGAAGACTGAGAACGCCTGGAAGTGGGAGGAGGCACCTGCACGGGTTGATCAGCTCGCTAGCTGGTGTGAACTTGGCGATGTTGAGCGCGTGCCCTTTCTTGTTTGGTGCTAAAGGGAAGCGAAAGGGCTTCGGGTCCCACATTCTAACACCCGCACCCACAGACACTTATCCTTCCTTATTCGCTTAGGACATTCTTTGCTTGCAACGTACATCAGTGATTGCTAGGAGATTCTTGTTTTGGACGTCCTTCTACACGCTTTCATCGTTTCTGTTCGGACTTTTGGGGACCTCCAAAATTGTAGTTGTCCTTGTGGTTTCCTTTTAGAACCTTTTTGGGGTGCCCTTAAAAAAGACTTCCCTTTTTTCGTTTTGCGGTCAACTCAGGCTTGTCGCGTTTCCGGTCAAGGCTCCTGCAGACCTTTGCTGTCATGCACGGAACCTTCCGGGTTAGCCTCTTATATCATACCCGTCCTTCAGGGATGTCCCAAACACCCCTAGGAAACAACATCCTAAAGCGCAGTTCAAGTCAGTCAGAATGAAAGATGCACTTAGCGCATTTAGTGGCCTGGTGTTCGGGGAGTAGGAAGTACTGCGGTCGCAAGTCGGAGGTGCCCAATCGCATCAGGGGCAGGTTGCGCTTTGTTCCTTGGTGTTCGTGGCAGCTTCCATGATTGGCAATACAAATTGTAGGTCTAGAATCCATGGTTGGCAGTGAAGAGCACGGTGTTCCTGGCATAGGTTTCTTATTCAATATCTCATCCCCTGTTTGGGACAACGGATGTCAGCATTCCACACCAGAGGGGTGTGAATGATGTTACGAGAAACCTAGCAATGAAAGTGAATCAACAGAAACTTGGAATACTGCATTCATCCTTCCAGTTTAATCAACTGAAACTTGGAATAATGTCAAGCTATCCATCCTTCCAGTTTTAAGCCATCTATCTCGCTAGTTCCAGTCTATGAGTTGACTGACCATCGAGGCCAGCTATCACCTGGCCTTCCGATTCCAAGCATCAGTGCCCCGGGCAGAGTCCGGAGCTGTTGTAGCATACATATATATATATACATATATACGAGGTGAGTGCCGTAGTTTGTGTACCTAGTCTTTCTTCTTCTGCTTCTTCTTCTTCTCCTCCTCCTTCTTCTCTTGTTGTTGGCGTTTTTGCGGGTGTAGGTGCTGTTGCTGGTAGTTGTTGGTTTCTGACACATCTTTATTCGGGCCCTTGCTTATCTTCGGGGCCCGCCTGAGTTGGGCACGCAAAATGCCTGCCGCTTCAGGACACAGAAGCCATGGCCTCAGGAGACAGGTCCAAAATTGGGAGTTTTGAGCCTGGCGCAACAGGGGGGGGCTTTGAATCCAGTTGAAATGGAAGGCACCCAAGAGACCACACGACAAAAAGCAAACCCCGAATTCAAAATAGCAAGTAACATGCGTGCAATTGTCAGACTGGTGCTTTGAGGCCACTATGGATATTGGTGAACCCTGAACGGCGGCTTAAAACAAGTACACAGGGGTTGGCCATGACAGATGAGCAACTGACAATCTCATTCTTGAGTCTGTTGCTGATGTAGCAGGGAGATGTTGCACCACTCACAATGTGTCTCGTCCATGGGGCGGAAGGCCAGTGTTCCAGACTTCTTCATGCCAAGGTTTTTTCCATCCAAGCGCTGGGCTTAGGTGCAATGTGGCTTTGTGAGTATGTTTCAAAATAGGGGTCCACCAAAAATGGCAATGAAGGGCTTCCCTTTGGTTTTCCCTTTGCCAAACAGAGGGGTCCGAAACCCAGAAATGGTACACTCCCCAAGTTCCTTGCCTCATTATTTCACCGGCAAAGTGTCGGACTTTGACCCTCAGAAGCAGAATCAAAATAATGACTCCAGTAGGGCGGTTTCTCGATTACCCTACGCCAGGGTTCAAATCCAAAGCTCCGAGCTAAACTCCAACGATTGGGGGTCCCCAACCTCCAATCTAAACCACCAATTGGGGGTTACCTGAATCTATGTTGCTTCAACCTAATGACCCCAGTTTCAAACCCCGGCCTTTGATGGGCAGCCCAAAAGAAACGAACAGCCATCGCTGAGGAGCCGGAGGAGCCTCAGGTCCATCCGCGGGGAAGGATCGATTCGATGGGTGGGTCCCCCGATGCAAGCAGTCCATCGTGTATGTACAATTCTTTATACATAATATATCAATGGACGTATTGTGGATACAAATATATATATATATATATGCATATACTCAAATAATCCTATATACGCAAACCGCAGCTACTTCCGTATGGATTTGGTGGCACTTTTTGACCAAGCATGATTGGATGTGTCCCTGTCCGAACTGGCGAGTCCCCTATCACGGCTTGAAGGGCCGTACTACACCCACCCCCCCCCCCCAAACTTGCGGCGTTCGGATGCCGGGCGCAAACTCGTTCGTTTTGGTCAGCATGCTTCAAAAGGGTTCTTAGTCCTTCCAATTTTGTTGAAAAGGGTAAGATAAGGCAGACGAGAGCAGGACGCCCGGCGGGCCCTGTTTTTGCAGTGTTGTTGGCGTTTTTTACAGAAACTCGTGATTTTGCGAGCAGCCTGACACTTCCTTGAACACACGCACCAGGCAACGTCCGCAGCAAGTTGGGAAGCCTTGCCACGTTGAAACTTTGGCAGGTTGGCAAGGGTTGAGGTTTTGCAACCTTGCCAGACTTGCAGTTTGCAATTTTGCACAGTCTTGCAGTGTTGGAGCTTTGGCAGACAGAGTTGTAGTTTTGCAGTCATGCCAAGCCTGTTTTGCAACCAAGGTCTGCAGTCTTGGAACTCTGGCAGATTGGCAATTTTGCAACCTTGCCAGGTCTGCGTTGGGAAGCCTGCAGTGTTGAAACTTTGGCAGGTCTGCAATCTTGCCAGGCCTGCAGTTTGGCAGACTTGCTGGGCAGTGGCCAAGTCTTGCAGTGTTGGAGCTAGGCCTCAGTGTTGGAACCATTCCAAATTGTCTGTTGCTTGGGCAATGAGTTGCAGAGTCTTGCAATTTGAAAATTTGGCAGGTTACCTTGCCAAGCCATTTCTACTGAGTTGGAAAGTGCTGTGCCAAGTTGGCAAGAAGTACAGTGTTGCAGTTTGGCAGACGTGGTTTGAAAAGCTCGCAGTGTTGGCAGACTCAGCCTTGCTTTGGCGCTGAGTTGCGAAGCCTGCACTGGTGAAACTTTGGCAGGGAAGGGCTGCAGTTTTGCAACTTGCCAGGCCTGCAGTTTGGCAGACTTGCCGGGCAGTGGCCCTTGCAAGTTGGCAATTTTTGCAACCTTGGTAGTTTGGCAGACTTGCTCGGGCAGTGAGTTGCAGTGTTGACACACGTGCAGGTTTGCTCAGCGTCGCAGTGTTGGAGCTGTTGGCAGACTTTGCTGCCTGTTTTGCAACCAAGGCAGGTTGGCAAAGGTTGCAGTTTTGCAACCTTGCCAGGCCTGCAGTTTGGCAGACTTGCTGGGCAGTGGCTTGATGCAGTGTTGGAACCCTTGCAGATTGGCCCAGGTCTGTACTTGGGCGCCTTGCTTGGGCAGCAAGTTGGGAAGTGTTGGACCTGCCAAGTCTGGTTTGCAACTTCGGCCTGCCTTGCTTGGGCCCTGAGATTTGAAGCCTGCAGTGGTGACACCTTGGCAGGTTGGCAAGGGTCGCAGATTTGCAACTTGCTACTTGCTTGGGACTTTCTGGACACTGGCTTGATGCAGTGTTGGAACCCTCGCAGATTGGCAGTTTTGTACCCTTGCCAGGTTTGTACTTGGGCGCCTTGCTTGGGCAGCAAGTTGGGAAGTGTTGGACCTGGCAAGTCCGATTTGCAACCAAGGCCTGTGTACTTTGGCAGCCTTGCTTGGGCACTGAGTTGGGAAGCCTGCAGCGGTGAAACTTTGGCAGGTTGGCAAGGGTTGCAGATATGCAACTTGCCACTTGCTTGGACAGTGAGTTGCAGAGTCTTGCAGTATTGAAACGCGGACAGGCTGGCAAGGAATCGTAATGTTGAAACTTTGGCAGGCTGACAAGGGTTGTAGTTTTGCAACCTTGTCAGGCCTGCAGTTTGGCAGACTTGCTTGGGCAGTGGGTTGAGACGTTTTGCAGGGTTGGACCTGCCATCTGTTTTGCAACCAAGGCCTGCAGTGTTGGAACTCTGGCAGATTTGCAATTATGCAACCTTGCCAGGTCTTGTAGTTTGGCAGCCTCGCTTGGGGGCTGAGTTGGGAAGCCTGCCCTGATGAAACTTTGGCAGGTTGGCGAGGGGGGGGAGAAAAACAACAGGATGTTTTTCTTTTCTCTCTCCCCCCCCTCCAGATCAGAGTCAGGCAATAGTACGACCTCTTTCGACCCTCGTACACGCAGACGCAAGATCAGATGAAAGACTTCTTTCGAACGCAGGATGCTTTACTTCAGACAAGCAAGAATGACACAGTTTTCCCCCCTTTCCTAACTGTGGAAAAACAGGGCCCGTATAGCGTCCCTTTCCTTTCTGAGGCAGAAAGGCCGAAAACAGAAGTGCAGTTGCAAATATGTGTGGCGTGTGTCAACTAGGTAGTTTTGGTTGTTTAGCCGGAACTTGGTGGCATTTGAAATACCCAGGCCACAAGGAGACGTGCTTAAGCCTGGATTCGTGAAGGACATATGATTACGCATGAGATGGGAAATGCAGCGGTGGAAAGCGTGTAAGCAACCTTCCGAGATGCGAATGGGCAACTTCAGGCATCAACACGCAGTTGCGCCATGATCCGCGTGTGGCTCGCAGAGAACGTGGTGGGCTGTGCCACACGGGGCCGAAATCACAGACAGGGCAGGAATCATCGAACCGCCGAGATGAAGAAGCTTTGCACTGCGTAACAACCAGGACATTTGGCCCAGCAGCAAAAACAGGTTGTGCGACCCCATGTGAATTGATCATGGTCATCAGTGTTAATAACAACTAAAGCGGCGTTTGGTTGGCTGACTTCTACGCAGCCAGCGCCAAGCCTCAGAACGCTTTTCGATCGCATCAGATCGACCTGACTCAATTTCACCCTTTCGGCCCATGGGCCAAGCACCTCCAGCCATCGGCCCGGAGCTGAAAGATGGGCCGGGCTCGCTGATTGGTTTCTTGCATACTTCCTTGGTTGAGTGTCTGCTACAAGAAGATGTTTCAGTTACGTATGATATACATATATATATATATATATATGTATATATACATATACACATGTATATGCATACTTGTGCGGTACATGAATCCACCTTTTTTAGGCTGTGGCTCACATGAGGAACTGCATCCTGCAAATGTCTATCGTCAATTTGGGGAGGAAGGTGAGGCTTGCATGGAATAGAGGCAATTTGAGGGTTTCGGCAATCATCGCCCCTAGACGCTTGGGCTCACGGGCCAATCTGGGGCTCGAGAAGGGCCGATGGGACCCGCTGCACCGATAAGCTTTCATGTTTGGCTGCGATGGGCGAGATCCGTAATCCGCACTTGGCAGTAATTGCTGTATACAGCAGATGGGTCACTTAGATCCACGGAAGGCTTGATGGCAAAACCGTCCTTTCCACGGATCCTATGTCCGCAGTTTCAGGAGGCGGCTTTGCTTGGCAAGGAATTTGTCCAACCACAGAAATGAAGTAGCTGGCTCTGGCAGGTATTGTGAAAGCAACATTTACTGTGGTGCATTTTGCTTAGATGTTAGGACTTTAACTTTTTGCCAACTAATGCTTTGCATCAAACCACTAAAAGTTAAACTTTTAGCAGGGGAGCAGAAAGCAACCGAGTTTAGTCCCCATGTTGTCAGGTGCCGAGCCTCTAGAAACTTGGAGTAAGATCCTGGCCAAGGCAAATCCACGCAGGCTAGTCTGTGTTTGCCTCTTATCTCAGATGACAGTTGCACTCTTGTTCACTAACATGCAACCTGACGTTTCGGGGTCCTGGAAGACGTTTTTTCTTTAAAGGGACCCTCTGATGGGTTCCATGGCAACCTTGACTGGGTAGCTCATTGTGAGACCTCCATTTGGGCATGTCTTTTGGCGGATACCATCTTTGGCGTGTGTTTGTTTTCATGGGGAACCAGAATGAGACCACCCAATGTTGAGGGCCCCCAAAAAAGACAGACCCCATTTCAGTCAATGGGGGTTGATCAAAAGGTCATTTGCATGGGATGACCGTTGGGGAAAACCCCTAAAAGATGATATTTCAACCACATGGAAAAAGTTACCCATGGTCAAACCTAAATGAAAAAAGTTACCCATGGTCAAAACTGGGGGCCCTAAATGGAATATGGCCATGGTTCAAAACCAATCGTACCATTTTGGGATAGGTGCACCACCCATTTTAGTCTATTCTAGTGGGGATTGGGATGTTTACTGGGGGTACGGGGTTTTGACCCATGGCCATATGGAGCAACCCCCAACTATTGGCGACGACATCCCTGCGCAACCCGCCCTAGGCAAACCCTGTGCTGCCAGGGAACCACAGGCAGAGGCGCGGGAGAAGAACTCGGGTGCGCCTTTTTTGAGGGTACCTCTTCTAGGTCCCCCAGTAGTGCCCTTTTACCCTTGTTTGCGGGAGGGTTCCCCTACTAAGATGGACTGCAGAAAAAAGGGGGAACCCTTATTCAAACCTCTCTACTGGAGGACCTAGTCTTTCTTGTGGTTTAAAAGGCAGACGAAAAGGTAAACCATCATTTTGGGTGGGTCCCCTAAACGCCACACCCAATTGGAAGTGATGAATTTAGAAGAAACACAGAAAACATAGATCATTTCAGATGCAGCCAAGACGTTCGGAGGGTTCAAGCATCGTTAAACCTCTACACTCTAGGGGGATGAGGGCATCAACAAGAAGTGGATTGTTTTGGGTTCCTCGTGCTTCCCTTTTGGGCACTTTGGGGGAGGCTGTTGGCGAGCCAAGGGCTCCATGTCTCATGCACAAGAAATCAGGCCCTGGAAACGCCCTAAAGAAGCCCTGAAAGCCGCGGGAATCCGAGATTCGGCATGTATTTTGACACGCAGTCACATTGGGGTTGATGACCTGGCTAGCTTTTCCAATGTAGTGGGACATACCATCTTTTGAGTGGTTTCCCCCAATGGTCATCCCATGTAAAGCTCAACCCCCACGTGGTTGC